GCTCTGAGCCAAAGGGAAATTTGTCACCTATTGTTTTTTTAAAGATCAGCTGTGATTTAGTCTTTGTGTTGTTGAATTAAGCCTGACTATGTGTACCCCTCTACTTGGCACAAAGCATGCTATTCAGTAAGCTAGGTGAGGTTTAAATGCAAGACTGTCTGGAAGATACCATATCTTTATTTACATTTCTTAACAAAAGTGTGATGTCAATATTGATGTCATGGTGGTAGGCAGAATGTTTATATCATTATCGTAGTTCATTATCCTAGTGCTACTTAAGTATTTCACACTTCAAAGGTAAAAAATATGGAGTTCGTTTGAGATGGTTAACTTAACTGTCATCTCTTATTATCCTAGACTGGCTTCTCTACGCAGTTAATGGATATCTAACGGAAAAGCACATGCTCGTAATCTCAATTTATACCCTTCAAGTGCATACAAGCAGAAGAAGTTTTTTAAAAGCATCACAAACTGGAGGAAACTGTCTTAGTAATCACAGCGGTCAAATGTCTATGCAAGTGCATACGGTGACACGGTGTTAGAAAAGTCTGACTTTCTTGGTGAAGTGCAAAGCAAAATGGTACCAGAGAAAACTCAAGTATTCCTTTTCCCTACTTTTGTCTCCTTTTATGAACTTCTAGGGTCATTTTTTGGTACCAACCCCTTCTTAGATTTTCCTTGAAGATTTTGCGCGAGAAATTCACGTGCGGCGGGCCAATAGGGAATCATTGATGCATGCTTGGCGTTTAACCGTTGTGTTGTTGTCTGAGCAAGATGTATATATGTTTATTGCAAATGTGTCAAGGTTCAATTTTACCAGTTAAAAATAGTTTAGTAGCGAACTGAATTAAGAAAGTCGTCCGTCTATCCAGTTTTGAAACCTGTGCGATTTAGCTAGTTGGTCAATCAATAAAATCAAATTAAATTTGAAATCCACATTATAGACAGATTCCATACTATCAGACAAATTGAGATCCAGCTTCTTCCTGAACTAACAATGATAATAAAACAACTTCCCACGTGACTAACTCTGTGTAAATACTCAGCGTCTCTGCAGCGTGAGATTAATTGAGTCATGTCACGATAAACCAAGATAGAGCGAGAGCTGTTGAGGGTGGAGAAGAGTAACTGCAATTAACAATGAAGAATATTTAGGGATAAACTTCTCGAGATGTGCAAATTATGACGTTGCAAGAATCACCTCTTTTTTATGACAAGTTTAGACTCTAAACGGAGAATCGTCGTTTATCTTTTACAAGTGATATCCTAAAAGGTGAATGAGGCTGTCAAAGCTGTCTACATTCTCAGGCTCTGAGCCAAAGGGAAATTTGTCACCTATTGTTTTTTTAAAGATCAGCTGTGATTTAGTCTTTGTGTTGTTGAATTAAGCCTGATTATGTGTACCCCTCTACTTGGCACAAAGCATGCCATTCAGTAAGCTAGGTGAGGTTTAAATGCAAGACTGTTTGGAAGATACCATATCTTTGTTTACATTTCTTAACAAAAGTGTGATGTCAATATTGATGTCATGGCAGTATGTAGAATGTTTATATCATCCTAGTTCATTATGTTATTGTTGAGGGTGGAGAAGAGCAACTGCAATTAACAATGAGGAATAATTAGGGATAAACTTCTCGAGATGTGCAAATTATGACGTTGCAAGAATCACCTCTTTTTTATGACAAGTTTAGACTCTAAACGGAGAATCGTCGTTTATCTTTTACAAGTGATATCCTAAAAGGTGAATGAGGCTGTCAAAGCTGTCTACATTCTCACGCTCTGAGCCAAAGGGAAATTTGTCACCTATTGTTTTTTTAAAGATCAGCTGTGATTTAGTCTTTGTGTTGTTGAATTAAGCCTGATTATGTGTACCCCTCTACTTGGCACAAAGCATGCCATTCAGTAAGCTAGGTGAGGTTTAAATGCAAGACTGTTTGGAAGATACCATATCTTTGTTTACATTTCTTAACAAAAGTGTGATGTCAATATTGATGTCATGGCAGTATGTAGAATGTTTATATCATCCTAGTTCATTATGTTATTGTTGAGGGTGGAGAAGAGCAACTGCAATTAACAATGAGGAATATTTAGGGATAAACTTCTCGAGATGTGCAAATTATGACGTTGCAAGAATCACCTCTTTTTTATGACAAGTTTAGACTCTAAACGGAGAATCGTCGTTTATCTTTTACAAGTGTTATCCTAAAAGGTGAATGAGGCTGTCAAAGCTGTCTACATTCTCATGCTCTGAGCCAAAGGGAAATTTGTCACCTATTGATTTTTTTATGTTACTTCGTCAGTGCTTTCATTTCTTCCTAGTTCTTACCTTTCGATGAACGACAGTTTTTAATGACCCTGCTTCAAACGGTGGGGTGTTTGCTCAAACTGTTAATGCTTGGAGGATTCCGTTTCCAAGTTAGGTCTGATATTGTGAAAGTTCTGGAAAATTTCAAAATATCTTTTTCTTTCTTGGCTGTGCCCAGTGCTTTCCACGCGTTTTTTTTTTTTTTCTTTTTTTTCGAAACAATACTCACTCGTAAGCCAAAAGAAATGTTTATCTGGAATGAAATATTTCATGTCACTGAGCATCAGCGACTTTCCAAAATGTAAGATGCTGGTAGAATTGATGAACCTGGAAGTTAAAATATAGGATACAGCTGCGGTCTAATTTTCCTTACTATTCTTACGGTGAAATCAGCTAATTATTACTCGCCGCTAATTTCCTACACTTCTTTTCTTTCTCCAGATGTTAATTTTGGCGTAAGTTGAAAAAAAGTCTAACATTCCCAAATCAAAAATGAGAAGCATTTAGAGGGTTTTCGATATATTTAACAAATCCTTGTGATATTAAGAAAGGGCCGGGAGAACTTCCCGAAAGATTATTGGTCGAGTTTAACTGATACATGAGGAAAGTGCTCGTTGCTGTCATTACATTTTTAGAAATATTGCTTCATTTATGTTAAGATACAATAAATTAAAGTTCACGGCAAGAATTAGCTGAAGCGCGCTTTGTCAGTTATATTTCAACTCGTCACGGATAGTAGGTTCCGAATAGAAGCTGTTTACTTTTCCTTAGAGCGGAAGACGTTAAACTCGTCACTGGAAGTAAGTGCCGAGCAGAAGTTGTCTCCTCTTCATTATAGCGGAAGACATTAAACTTGCAACGTGCACGAATAACCCAATGATATAAGTCAATTTCATTTTTGCCGACTGACGCATCGGTCAGAGTTCGACTTAAAATCAAATTAATATGCTTTGAACGCAATAAATATTCTTGAGTGTTATTTCATTGTTATATTTTAGTCTTGTGAAGTGTAATGGTTACTGATGTTCAAGGTCAATGGCAAACTCATTGAACCCCAAACCTAAATAGTTAATAAATACTTCAAATGATTATTAGTTATTGCCGATGGTTCAAGCAATATTGCTGTAGGTATCTAAAAGCTAAGTCATTGTTGGCGGGTCCATCTTAGAAAATTCAGTAAGTCATTCGCAATTCATTTTATCTCAGCCATTCTTGCACCCGCTTGATGCAATAGCTTAAAGTAAATAATATAAAAATGGTGAAAAGTTCCATTCTTAATAAACTTACAATAAACGATCAAGCTTGAGGTGTTGGTAAGCACATGGCTCTGGGACAGCGCTCGATAATAAGCCCCTTTTCAGGGATGAGCCCTCGATCCTGATCGAATATCAGACACTGAGCTTACTTTCTCGGAGATGTTCTTTCAAAGTTCTTGTGTGTTGGAGAAAAAAAAAGCAAACCCTCGCGTCAACCACAGACATTCCACAATTTCGCTGGAACCGGCACACCACGTTGTAATGACGGTTTAACTTTCTCAGATCACTGACGTAAGGAAAAATGTCATGTCAGAGTAACAGAAACAAGAGGGTACTTTGTGGTTTGTGTTGTAATTGCCTTCTAATTTCCTGGAGCGTTGACTAATTGTTTCGTCTATTTTGTGGATTGGTAAAGTCTATTTTTAAAATCCTTTTCGCCGAATGACTGGTGAAGTTTTTGCTTCATTTGTTTCCAATTTCTATATGACAGAACTTTGTAAAGCAAATACGTCAGCCACTCAAAGTCGCCCCGAGATAGATTTTGTTGTTTTTCAAAGTTGTTTTGGAAGTTTAAGAATTGAGATAGTTTTTCCGTTGTCACCTTGGGTGTCTATCTTTTTCATCTTGAGTAATTTCGATTCAAACCGCTTGTAAAGGTCACCGTAAAAACCGGCATACACCGAGATCCAGGTGTACTTAAGTTAAATAATTACAAAGATATTGAATATAAGAGAAGTAGGGCGATATCGCAGTTACATGTGGTTGACCTCGACAATTTTCCACTAATCATTCAATAAATATCATTAGGAAATTAGCCCCGACCGGTTGGTTTGTAGATCAAAGTTCCAGTTAAGGAACTCAAAATTTTTCCTTCCGTCAATGTCCAGCACATTTCCCAATCAACCTTCGATTCCCTTCTCTAACTAATGACACTTTATTGGAATCCTTAAATTCTTCCTTAAAGTTTGATTTTCCTGTTATACTGAATTGCTGCGTAACTATACCAACGTTAAGCATAACTTCCGGTACACGGAACTAAATACTTGGAGTAACGCTCCTTTCTATTTTCAGACAGTTTCTTCGAGGTACTCAGCGAAAAAACCGGCTTCTTACAGCAGATTTGTGGTTAGCCTCGAGGGGCATTTTAATGGCGTCCACGTTTTTAGATCGAAGAACAATGACACACTTTGAAAGCGATCGCGTGTCTGATGATCTCAAAAAATTGCTCAAGAAAACGACTGAAGTGTTGGTTTACTTAATTACAGGTTTTTTCGTTTTCAAGATCACTCAGGTTTTTGGAACAGCACTGACAACTTGGAACATGATGTGTAATATTGTGGCTGTTTCTTAGCTAGAGCTGTACAGAAGCGTCGTAAGACATTTTCAAAAAGAATCGCTTTCCAAAGGGAAGTATCCCTGAAAAAAAGGCGGGCTAAGGTGGACCATGAACATTAAAATCTATCAATGAACCAAAATAAAACAAAGATGGTTAAGGATACAGAAGACTTAAGCGGATTTCGAATAACAAAGAGATATTATTTTAGCCTAAATTGTCCACGATTTTTTAGCTACGTGATATTTAGCAAAGTGACGTAGCTAAATGAAGTACCTATCGTAATATTGTGTGCAAACTGTTAATATACACTAATTTAAGTTAAACGTAGGATCATTTTGTTAAAAGATCATTTATCATACTTGCCATTTGTTTGATAAGTGATGATAAATTCAAAATTGTACACCGCGCGAGTGAAACCCGTGAAGCAATTTCCTGTTTGTAAGTAATATTGTGAAAACTTTCGATCATTTTCGAGTTCAATCAATACTTTACGAGTGGAGGAACCTGTCTTTGAGTCTTAACCCGCTTTGTTCTAAAAATTGATTTCAGTATTCCACCACGAATTTTCATTTCGGTTTATTCTTCCTCTCTCCTATTCCCATTCAAGCTCCTCACTTACTCCTTTTCCTTTAACTGCTTAAGTTTTCTTACCGCCTCATAAAAACAAAAACAAAAACAAAAACAAAACGGGAAATGACCAATTTTCTCTCAAAGCATTCTCTTCTTCTAAATGCACATGTGATCATCCTGTAAACGTATACTCCTTCTGTAGCAGAAGGTAATCAGGGATAGACTCTATCACCTGAGTGAACGCTTGATCCTAAGCGTACGGGTGGATGGATGGATGAGTCAGCCCCACCCCTCCTCTTTCAGCCCCTCCGTTTTCTACATCCTCCGGCATGTAAACAATCAAAACACTTAAATGATCTTGAAGGGCTAGATCTTTTAATAAAATTATTGAAAACGCACATCTCCATGATGTTGAAGATATCTATCTTATTCCCTACATCTACGGATAAATTTTAAAAAAAATTGTCTTAATAATTCTTATTATGAAGCCGACTCTTATCTTAATGCCTTAGTTTATTTTGGGTACTCTTCAATTTTTTTCGCAACCAGTGGTAGAGGAACTGGAGACAACGCTAGCAGAACAAGAATGTCTCATAGTGTTTATCGAGGCATTTGCGCATGCCTACTAAGCCTGTAGGAATGTTCTGACGAAGTCTCAGACTCCGGCGCATTTCCAGAGCCTCTCCTTTGCCAAGTCCGGTGAGAAGAAGAGAGATCCTGTGAACCAAGACAGCGAAGTTGCATTTCTCTACCGATCTGATCGAAGTCGTGCTTGGTTAGAAGCGTCGTACGAATTCCAGGTGACGCAGTTTGAGCCATGTCCTATCCAGCCACATATCTGCCTCGCTTTTAAGATTGTTAGCTTGGTAACAAAATTAAAGTGCTTCTTCTGCCCGTCGGGTAGCTTGACGATTCCAGACCCCGAAAGAACACCTACTATCACACGGTCTTTCCCAGACGCCTTCAGCTTAGTTCTAACATAAGTCCCAGCCCCCGAACTTCCTTTGGCAGCATCACATCTACAAATCAGCAAATTGGCATTCGCTCGCGAGTTACAATGACTATACCACATTGTATTTGCTTTCTTGTCACCGGGAAAACTTGCAAAGTGAATCTTGTAAAGTTGACCAGCTCCGTTCATTACTCCGAGCTTGAAAAAAGGTCGTTTGTGAGGTTTAATTAGCTTAATCACTGCATAGTCAAAGTTCGATGAATCGGAATTACGGAGCCAGCTTTCCGGATAATTGACTTTAATCACACGAATCCATCGGAATTTGCCATTGCGTCGCAGAACTCCAACTCTCAGATTGGTTGTGTCTGTCAGCGGCCGCTGACCATCGTGAACGCAGTGCGCTGACGTCAGAACGTGAAACGAAGAAATCAGAGATCCTGAACATTCGAAAGAACCTGCTGAAATCTTGACATACGGCGAAAAAGGAAATTTTTGTGCAAGGGTAGAGGTGTTTAATCTGATGCGACCGTCACGCCCAAAAATAATTCTCTTCAAGCGGCGATGCTCCAAAGTTCGCGAAACTCTGGAAAAAGGGGTCTGGTAACTTTCCTCCATGGACGAGGACAAAAGTTCGGGCTCACCAACTAATGAGTCATCTTCTATCACGTTTTGAGCTTTAGATCCGTCAGCTGAGTTGAAATTTTTAAAATCGCCAACAGAAATATTTGTAAATGTTACTGAACCATTGCGCCATATCGTTTGGTAACTCAAATCGGTGAGATCTTCTTCGGGGTCATCGAGGGACACTGTAGAAGAGAAATTTTTCATGTAACCGTTGCTCCTTGTCTTCATTTCGGAAACTGTGGTGGTCTTGTTGTCACCAAAGTTGCTGATTGATCGCTCTGAGCTGAGAAACATCAAGGCTTTTTGAGGTTCCTTGGTTTTTTTCAAGCGTTCCAATGCTGTATCAACTTCCTCTGCCAAATAATTTCCAAGCAGAAACGCAACAATCAAGATTCTTTTCCGGAAATTAATGTTCTTCATTTTCTCGATCTCTTGTTTCCTTGATGTATCCTTCCAAGTGAGCTGTTAGAGTCTGTGTCTGTGATCTTGTTTTGATGTTTTTATATGCATATAATTGCGGTTGTTACGCAAAAGTTTTTTCCTTAAAAAGCTCAAAGAACACGCTCAATCTCGTCAGGCCGATATTCGAGAGACGTTACGGAGATCGCGGGGGAAAGGGTCAAAAAGTTATTGAATATTCCAAAATAACGCACACGCGTCTAAAAGACTTCTCAAAAGGCTATTCCGTAACGGTTTTGCCATACGTAAAATCATGAGGAGAGAAGTTTTTTATGGTAAGAAACAACTTGTTTATCAAGGTCCATGTCGGCTCTTAAGATCTTTAGTACTAATCGAAAAGATGCCGAATTTCCTAAAGAGTGCACATTAACCATTTGTAAGAAAAAGCATTCGTGAGAATTGAAGTTTAAAGCTTCCGCGATCTGCTCTCACGGTCCTCGCTTTAATTCTATTGTTCCAAAAGGCGTGGGTTTTTAGGTCTACTGACCAAGTCAACACCTGTTCAAAATGAAACCGCAGCTTCCAATTTGCGACTTCGGTGTGGGCTGTAATCGTGTGATGAAACAAAAAAAGAAAGTTCTTTTTAACCTCAAAGAAATATGTAACGGGGAAAATTAACGAAAGGAGCCGGATAAGCAATGATTATTTCTAAAGGCAGTTTTTATGGCTCAGCTCTCTCGGAGAAGGGAAAAATTGTATCGCGATTTATCTTTGTAACAGCTTGAAAAACTTGAAACGCCTGACTGGCTTAGCTCAAGTATCTTGTTATTATTTGGCAAGAGAGGAGCTTTTAACGGCAAAGAATGGCCATTATGATTAAGTCAAATTCCAAAACATTTTCAGAGGAATTTTGGTTGACTACCTAAAGCGGAGGAGGCAATTTAACGCAGTTATGAAAAAATTGAAAACGTCGCATTTCCCTTCAGATGTGCCTAAATATCAGTGGTCGACTAATACACGATTTACTTCGTTGATTTTGATATAATGCCAGGGAAATATTAAACTGTGGGAACTCTGTTACGCACAAAATATATATCAGTAGTTTTTGATTTTTTTCTCTCCTGGCTGTGTAATTTCCGGAGTCCCTTTACTAATCTCAAAAAAATATGACGCAACGTAATGTCAGCTATTCAGTTAATGCTATTTTAAGTTTGTGCTGCGTCAATGCTTTTAACAAGCAGTTAACTGAATTTATGTCAGAAGAGAAACGGAACTACCAAACAGTTTTTGAATTAATCATAATTGGTAACTCCAGTGAGTGAATTTCGTGATTCGAAAAAAATTGCCAAGTCGCCCACGATGGTGCAAATAGATTCATACAAGCCACAAGAAAAAATATAAATAACGAAAATGGTAAACATGAACAATAATCCAAAGTAGATTGTCTAGACCCACTCTTGATGATCTTAAAAAGATTGAGCTTTTCCAGGATAGGGAGTATATCAGAAAGCTATGCCTCGATCTCTGTGTCTCCTAGAAACTCTTTATGTTTAGCTAACATTTCCTTGAGTTTGCGAAGAAAGTTATTCTACAAGGACAAGTTCCCTTATCCCGCCCGATATTTCACGCTAATTGTCTGCGTAATGTTTACAAATTAGTCGATTAGAGCATTAGTTTTCCTGACAATACGCGCAGTTAACTCTAAGCGTTATAACTTCAGCTTTGATAGAGCGAGTGTCGCCATGTTGCCGCTTAATCCAATACACGAGTGGACCAAACGACTTTCAAAGAAGCTGAGGCACTCAAAACAAGTGCGGTGTCCTCCTTCTCTTGTTAAATCTGTCCAGTTTTACCTAACGATTGTTCTTTGACGTCATAAAAGAACTCAGTGACTTAAGAAAGTAGACAGTGGAATTCACGGCAAACATTCCTGTGCAACAAAAAAAAAAAAAACAAAAATAACAAAAAAAACAATTTTCCTGCTTGCGTCCTTTTTCAAATGGCTAACACCCTTAATTCTTCATTAAAATTATGTCTCCTTCGTGAAGACAGAATTTACTTACATCAAGATTACACTTATTGTCTTCTTGAACCATGGATTATGTACGCGGGGGCGAACACTCTTCGACGAGGAATTCAAAATTGTTCTAGAAAACTTCCCAACTGCGATCAGAAGTGCTGATAAGAAAGTACTCTTTGTTGCCACGATTTACATGCTCAAAGTTCAAGTGGTCAGTTTACGCCCAATCTTGATTAATGAGTTAGAAAGTGGGATAGTGGTGTATATCAGAGACTCTCTTATTTGTCAGGTTACCACGCATTTACGAAAGAGTTAATGTTGGCCATATTCATTTATGGGAAGATTTGTCAGTTGCGAATAAGCGCGTGCATGTATATATCAATTGCACTTTCCAGTCGATTAAAAACTATGTGTTCAGATATTAGCCTCATTCGTTTACTTAGCTCTGCATTCTTTCGCCACCCAACACCATTCAGCCCGTTTCCCGGTCCTTGGGGCACAGATGAACAACAAATAAGCTCTTTGATGGTAGTTGTAGTGACTGTAACGTTTACTACGGTTTCAAAACCTAAGATTCGAACACGACTCACTTGTAAGTTAACGTTTACTGTTAGTGTTCACGGTCTAAAAGCCTTTCCTGAGGGCGCTCTATAACTTTTACGGCTGCGCGGACGTCCAACGCTCTTGAATTTAAAATCACAATCGATGTTGTTTAATTACCGTCATTAAGATGCATTTTAAAGCTCCTTGACTGCACATCGGAAGAAGTAACATGCTCTATCTCAGATCGACCTGCTATTTTTGAAAACTCTCTGACTTTTATCGCAAACCAAGTTACCAAATTCAAGTCACGATATCGTCAACGTTTTTTTAGCGCCCCCTGGTGAGGGTTACCCTAAAATAGAGCTAGAATTTAAAATAACACTTTTTTTAGAGCTATTGCTAGAGTACCACCTGAGAGACTGCCCCAAGGTCGAAATAATATTTATATTCTACTGCACTTTTATCCTCTTCAAGATCATTTGCTATCAAGGCCGACCTTGACTCTGTGATGTTTCTAGAAATTCAGAGCCTTATATTCTCATGGGTGTTTTTTTTTTTTTGGTCAGAAATTCAGGTGGGCTGTTATGGATACGGTATTGTTGACGTTCAACCAGTTTTTCGTGATTGATATACTATCGTTTGATAAATCTAAGTCTGAACTAATGTATTTACCGTCGAAATTTTATCATTTTGAGTTAATACCCAGCATCAGCTTTAGTGAATTTAACATTCAATCTGTCTCAGGAGTCAAAAATGTTGCGAAATCTTGGTTTTATCTGGGCCCTCCATCACAACATGTCAGGAAGTGTTTACAACATCTGTCGCCTAGCCTCACCTATCCTTGGAAGCATCGCCGGAAGAGATAGAATGTATCTAACTAGTCCATCCAACACTGACCACCTTTTGCGCGCATGAGCTGCTGTTCCTGATAACTTATGTTCTGCACAAACCTCTGCTTAGATCAAGGAATTGAGGCGACTACCAGCAAAGCTCTGATGATAAGATGGCGGTTGTATATGTAGGAGTTTCAAGAAAGACGGTTTGATTATATGTATTTCCTACTGAACGTGATTTACATGGGGTGCAAAAACAATCCATGCAAAACGTTTGCAATGAACTTTTAAAGTTTAAAATGGTTTTTCATCGACATATATATATATCACAGTTTTCAATCTTCGGTAAAAACTTACGATCGGTTGCTCCTTCTGACTTGTCTACCGACATGATCGTGCCTTACTTATATTTACAGCCATGGAAATCTTTAAGGCCCCACAGGAGCTTATCTAAGTCTTTACAATATGTTTGCATTTTGAGTTTCGTCTTTGTCTACAAATTTCACTCGCCAGTCTGTCTCTTTACTTAACATCTCTTCTTGATGAGTTTTAACTTTACAATCATGAAAATCTGTTAGGGCCCACTACACTATAGGAACCCTTAACGAATGTAAAGCGGTAAGTTTAGTCTCGTTCACTGTCAAGAAACTTTTGTCCCTTAATCGTAGGTTTATGGTTCAAGTTTAGCTTATTCCTACTAACTCCAAAACTTCCTCGTTTACCCACCAGTAACTACAAATAGAGAGAATTCTGGAGCGGATTTAATATTGTCTCTGATTACTTTTTGTCGGCTTGCCGAGCTAAAAAAACAACGAAAACAAAAATAGCAAAACAAAACTGATCAAAGGAAAAGCCGACTAAACAAAACGGCTTCACGATGTTGGCGTATCATGGACTCGTCAACAGTTTAATTGCTGCTGTTTGCTCTGTTACACGCGTATAATAGAAAATAAATTAGTGTAGTTTTTCAGATATAAAGAAAGTTGTCCACGCAAACTTATTATAAGGTTAGTTATTTATGAGGAAAAACGAAGCGCAAATCCAAAACATGCAATTCATAGTGCCATTTAAAAAATTGTCCGTGATTAGAAGTTTTACACACGTACAAGTAACTGCAAATGTCTCTGATAAAAACTTCTAATCACCATCGCGACCAATATTAGTTATTTATCTTTTAAATACTTTCAGAGATTCATTGGCTAGATTTACGGCTAAATTTGTGCATGTAGAGTTTGTTCCAGATTCACGCTACAATTTTTTAAGCGACGTTTCAAGTAAATCTCGAAATCACTCCTTAATGCGTCGGCTGTTTTTAGAGGCGTCTTCGCAGAAAATTGCCCGACGTGTCTCGGATTTATTAGTCCCTTGTGAACAAGTTCCTGTTGTGTGGTAAGCATCGTAAATTGAGTGTCTAATGTAATCATGGAAAACATTAGTCTTGCTTTACTTCGCTCTGTGATTGGTCCAGAAAACTCGAGTTACTCTCTCCACCAATTAGATGCAAAACTAAAATCAATCATGATTTGGTCGCCCGCGTTTTCCCGCGTTTTTCCGCGCTTTAGGCTGCTTGGTTGGTTTTAAACTTTGAGTTCTCATTGGCTCTTAAAGGCGTTTTTCTCTCTTCTGATTGGCTGTTGCGATTAATTTGGTTTTGATTTTACGACTCTCAATCGCAAGCGCTCTATTTCCGATGATCGCTTGAAAATGGGTGTCGTCTAGAGGCTTTGCTTTCTTGATGTCATTAAAAGAAATTAAGGGCTCCCTTAATCATTTTCGCTTGGTGTAACATATGATTTGCAGTTTAGTATTACCGGCCGTAGTTCAGTTTGTCGCTGGATATTATTCGAGCACCAAAAGAACCAGCAAACATCGACAATTTAATTTGTTTATTGAATGGTTAGCTTTTCATTCGTAAATTAGGCGCTTTCTTCTAATTGAGAAGTGATTAGACGAACAATACAAGGAACCCGCTGTTATTTTATAATCAGCTCCGGTAAGACTTGTCGAGTCAACTCAACTCAAGCACAATCTTGCACAGTTTTCAGAAATATTGTTCAACTTGTGCCAGACAACTAACAGTATTATTAACATCAAAATACCTCTGTATGACAAATAACCTCTCTTGCAATAACAAGCTCCATTTTTTTCATTTTAATTTTTTTCGTCTTTGAGTTGAGGAGAAAATATTCGGAAATATTGGCTTATTTCCAAGCTTTATCATAGTTTCCAGACAACCTATATTTCAAGTCATGATTACCAGTAGGTACCTAATTTCACCCAAGGCTATTTTTTGACATCTTAAAAAGTATTGATAAACTCATCTGATACTTGACTCGTTGCCAATTAATTTTGTCACTAATAAAGCGCAGGAACTCACTAATGTATATGTTTCGGAGGTTTTTCGACAAAATTCCATTCTCACTAAGAGTAGGGAACGAAGCTACCTTTGTTGTGGTCTGACCTTTTTATCAGTGTTTATACAAGCCTTCATTAAACCAGCTTTGATGCTGAACTGGGCCAGCCTATCTAACTCGCAATTAAATCAATCAGACAATTTCTTCATCATCTGTTCAGAGCTGGATTTATTGCATTGTAAATTGATGTCTGGCTTCTATATCGTTTCCTAACTCTCCGCTAAATCAGTGGTGTTAGATTAATTCTAATGCTTTAGTCCCCTGTCCACCTATTTTTATTCACTTGTGGTTTCAAGAAAGAGCCGAAAAACCTCCCTACCCATTATGTTAATTAGCTATTTGAAGCTAATTAACATTAAATTTGCTGACACTGACCGATAACTAAATCCGATTTGTTAGTTATAATGTTCTACTTCATTTCACCGGTATACAAATTGTTCAAATGAGGCCTTTACAGTAACTGCTACAAAAGCTAAGATTCAAAATCCAAGCTTTCGTCGATCAACGGCGAACCCTAATGGTGCCGTTGATCGGCGAAAGCTTGGGTTTTAAATTTTACTTTTTACTGTAGTTTAAGGCTTCATTCGAACAGTTTGTATACTTAAACAATGCTGCTGAAGGACAACATGAACGGATTATCATTTTATTGGGTTGTGAATTGTCCTGGCTAATGTGTCTACACCTTTTGATCCAACAAGTCAAATCAGACAGTTTGGTCGCAATATCCGATTAGATCAGGAGTTAGGCTGTCAAAAACGAATCAGATTTGAGCATTTTGATGTTGGTACAATGATGATTTAACAGTCGTAGAAAGTCTCGAGCGTACAGAAAAATTTGATACATGAATTGTGGAAGCGTAATTTTAAACGAAATCGAATCAAAACTTTCCTCGAGTCGTTGCTTTCAAGGTCATAATTTGTATCATCGAGTTACGGGCTTCGTGCACGCTTTATTTTTTCCTTCAATGATAAATTTTGTAGTTTCTCCAATTTAAAGGGGATAATAAATTTGTACACCAAAATTGTGCAATGAAAAATTTCGGCAGGGTCACCGTTCTCGTTCTAGAGCTAAAGACCATAGTTCCTCTTTATCTGGTCCACTGATTGAAAAACAATACCGTGTTCTCGAAATGCGCGCGCGCCTATTCGCCTGGCCCCGGTTGTTCGATGGATGGATAACGCTATACATTGGATAAATCTCTATCCGGTGGATAGCGCAGTACGTTTTGGTAACACTTATCCGCTGGATAGCGATTTATCCGTTGGATAGTGTTATCCGCCCTTTGAACAACCGGAGCCTGATCACGTAATTTTTTTATGTGCAGTACAGTATGCACAATGCAATACTGAGGAATCAACTTAACTGTCCCTTTAAATCACTGTCCAATTACAATCATGGCCCATACACTGTCCTATTAGTGCTCAAATCCCGTTGGTGATGACTAATCACGTTCGAGAACTTTGTTTTAGTTTTGATTACTACAATTGGACCAAAGTAATTACACCTGCTAATAAGAAAAAAGGGAAGAGGAAAATGTTAGAAGGGGCCAATGAGAACCCAAAGTAAAAACAAGCAACGTGGAAAACACGAGTGACCAGAACGCAGTTGGTTTTAGTTTTACATCTGATTGGTTGGGAAGAAGTAACAACAACCAATCACAATGAAGGAGAATATCGCAAGGAGCTAATGAGAACTCGAAGTAAACGCACGCAAGTTGCCTGAAGCGCGGGAAAACGAGAGTAACCAAGTCATGATTGGATCTGATCGGTTGAGCCGGAGTGACATACCCTTTTTGAGACCAATCATATGACGAAGTAGAGCGAAATAAAACAATTCCGCATTACTATTGACACTCGTTGAAAAGTGCTCAAGGTCTGAATGGTAACCCCTTTGTTAGTGCTTTGATCTTTTACCCAATTTCAAGTCGAGTAGATCCTTCGGACAGACACTTTTTAAAACTCTTTATTTTTTCATCGTCCATGTGAAAAGAAGAGTATTGGAGGACAAGTACAAATATTGGCCTCTGCCAGTTGGAGAGGTGGAGAGGTGGCAATACTTAGAGAGGAGAAAGACTTCTCAAGCAATAGTAAAAGAGCGCAACAAATAAGATATTCATTTTGTTTGTTTCACGATAAACATATGCAATTACTTACTGATAAAAGCAATGAAATCATATTTTTTTTTCTAAAATGCGAAGAAGTTGAGTACAATAGAAAGTGAAATAATTTGGAGGTTAAGTTATCCTCACAGCAGATGTTATAATAACATTGTATACACGAAAAGGCCCGTCCTGGGCCATTGGTAAATTGGGCGACTAATAGGAAAACCGGAAAGACTAGCCGGGTGAGTTTCTTTCCCCAGCTCACCCTTGTTCGTGCTGGCCTCATTAACCGAGAGCCCGGGGCGAGCTATTTTATTGTTTAAATTCATAAGCAAAGTTTGTTCTTATATAAATCCAACTTATTTGCCATTCATTTTGACTAAGTTAAATTCAGTTAAATAAGCTAATATAGTATTATTCTTGCCCTCAATCTTACTCGTGGAAGCAGCCGATATTTAAGGAATTCTTGTATATAATAGTGAAAGATAATCAAATTGATATTTGACTCGATGCCACAGATTACATAACTGTAGTTACAGATTGATAACTAGCTCGAAGGAATCAGATCGAGTAATTTTCGTATAATACATGTTAAACAGACATGAAATGTTGAAAGCGGAAGTTCATCGACTATCAAACCTCAAAATGCCACGCTTGCTCGGACAACAAAATGTTTTTCTTTAAAACAAGGATACTCTAAAATCAGGCGTGTGTTGTGGGACTGCAATCACGCATGCCTTGAGCTCGCGTGTTGGTATGTGCACTTGTTTTTTCGACCAATGAGCGTTACTGTCTGCTTCCTTAAGACTACCTTGAGCATGCGCAGTCGCTATCTTAGCTTTGTCGTGAAACCCATGCTATAAAATGGAATTTCAGAAAAAACCGGAATGCGTTGAACGGGGTTGGTCCCAATCTACGCGCATACGCCTGATTTTAGAATATCTAGTTCGTATAAATTGAATATGCCTGACACGTGTGTTTGGAACTGAGTCCACAAACCTCAATCTTGTTCCCGAAGTCGAGGCTCTTTGGTATATGTTTCCGGTACAAATGTCTGTTTAGACGTCTGTCTTTTAGATATTCCATCGCAAAACTGAAAGATTTTTTTGAAACTGATAATAACTGATTGATAACGTGGAGTATCATAACCCTATTGCTCAGTACAAAGACAAAATCACGTGACCACCATGTTCACGGGAACGGCCGTTACGTAAAGTTTCCATAGCTACTCCTTTGAGTTGATTGAGAACCTTCTCTAGTTTTAATGGTTAGGAGAGACAGGCATTTTGGCTTTTTGGTCGATTGAACCTTTATGTCTTCTTGGAGGCAGACCCATCCAGGCACGAATTTGCGCTAACTTCACAGGTGTAATCTTCGTGCCTATGTTCATGAGACGCATTTTCCCACGAAACCGTACGCGGCTCCCCAAACCAGTAAATACTCCGAACACGAATCGTTCTACTGCTTTACCTTTTCTCATCAGGGCGTAAATTCCTGCACCAGAGCTTCCGGCCTTGGAATCGCATCGATTGATGATGGCGTGACTACGACAATGAGCTGCGCAATTCGAGTACCACAGAGTGTTTTCTTCTTTGTCGAAGGGAAAAGAAGCAAACTGGATTTTTATTCGGATATCTAGGGCGGCAGGTATCTCATACATGCCCAGAAAGTCATTGTTGTGCGCCCGTTTGAGTCTTATGACGGAATAGTCGTAGCGATAATCCCGAGAGAGAGTCCATCCTCGCGGGACTTTGACGAAGTCGACCCCAATTTTGATGACCTTTCCTTGATGCCTCAAGACCAGCACCTTTAAGTTCTTTACATCGACGAGGTAATTCATGCCATCATGAACGCAATGTGCCGCTGTCAGCACATGGTATTCTGAGATAAGGGTGCCTGTACAGCCAGTGGATATCCTCACAACTGCAGAGTATGGGAGCCGTCTGGAATTGACGTGGCGGACTTTAATTCGATCATCTGGACCAAATACCTCTCTTTTTCGCCGATGTTGGCTGGTGTTAGTAAGGTCGTTTCCATCGTCCAAGTCACTGGGAACCACACTGGGGACTTCTAGCTCAAAGTCTGCCATCCTGCTCCACACATCATGAGTCGCGTTTCTTATCCCCTCAACCTTTTTAAGCTCCACCAAGGTGAGCGTTAGACTGCCATTGGACCAAAAAGTTTCATAGTTAAGCCTAGGTAAGCTGTCCATTATGGAGTCATTGACTGATATAGGTAATCCGTCGAAATCCAGCTCATTAGAATCAGTATAGTTCAACCCCAGTGAGCTAGTTTGGTTAGTTCTCTGCAAAGAGGTGATGTTCACGTCTTGGATGTAAAAGCTAAGGGGTGGAAAATCTTCATGGTCGTCCATCACATCCTTGTGCACTTCTTGTTTGTTCGACACATTAACACCTCTTTTTGGAGAAGAAGGGAATAGCACTCGCTTAATCCTTTGTCGAGACGAGCAAACAAGATCAGGAAGTTGTAGAGCCCAACACAGCAAGCTCGCGACAGCAAAATATTTTACCAAAGTCATGTTAACCCCGCTTCGACTGACTGGTTTAGTGAGAGGTGAAAAACGATGTCTTCAAAACTTGATATCGAAAAAATCTACCAATAAGATAAAACAGATAAAGAAAATTTTACTACCACCCACGTAAAATTTTACACCTACGTAAAACCACAAAATGAGAACGGTCTCCTTTACGAATATTTAAAACAAATAACCCAGAACGCGACAGCTTGGAAAGACTGAAATGTCCACCGCTGTGAAAAAATTACTGAGGATCATAGGATTTTCTAAGCTTGAAACGATTATCCATGGAATTATCCGAACTATGTCGGATAACCTTCATGTAAAAAGATTTACTTTTCTTTCGTTTTAAATCAGAAAAACAGAAATGATTTGTTGTTGTTTCATATTCCCCATTCAGCCTAGCCAACTTCCGGTCATTAACTTTGGCTTATCAATCTCTACTAAAAATAAGAGTTGCGCGAATAGAATCTCGATATATTAGGGAAAGTTTTTAATAAACTAACTTATCGTAAGTATTCATCAAAGGAATTGAAAATGAATTATTGAAGTAGTACTACACTTCCTCTTTAAGTCTACAGCTGCAAAGAAGGAAAGCATGACTGAGACATCTCTCAATTTTTTGTTTTAAGTTGTTGCTGTTTGTGTAGATGTGCGCGCTCTTTTAGGTTCTTGAATGAAATATCTGTTGCGGGCTTCTGATTGTGGGCATTTCTAAGTATAAACTTATGTTCGTCGTTTACAAAATGTTGTATTCTGTCCTGTCCAACATTAACCTGAGGCAACCACTATTTGATTTGATTTGTCGTTCCGATTCTCTATGTATTCTAAGGCAATTTGGTATTTATTATGAAAGCAGCAGGAGACAGAAATCGTAATAACTACTACGTGATAAGTGCACCACTTTGCAAATTTTTTTAACACAACAAAAATATCTGTGATTGAGGAGCATCCGCTATTTGATGATCAGTTCGGTACATTGCATCGGTACTGATCATAAATAACTTGCCATTGCATGCATGACAGATGCTATCGTAACTACAAAGCTGGAGTTCCGTAACAGACTTTGTTTATCATATCGAATACTTCTCGTTGAGATCTTAACGTAATTGCAATTTCTTGGCCTAAACAACAGAACCTAAAGCGGGTTTACTGCTGTTTGTGGTAATTTTAGACCGCATGTGCAAATCATTCATGTTCACGTAATTGAACTGAGGTGTAAAAATCACCCCGATTACTTTTCAGAAGAAAAACACAGAGTGGAACAACTGGGTTGAAAAGTCAGTATTGGCCATTAAAGCATGCAATGAAATAGAGGGCTATAGTTAGATTGTTTGAGTATTAATAATTTAAACCTTGATCTGCGGTGCTTCATTTATGATGGTGGCTGATTGTCATACGTTCACCGGTATGAATTTCATCAAATTCAGAGAGAGGAGCATTTCGCACCCTTACATTTTCTTAATACTCTGTTTTGTCTCTGTAATCTGTGTTGACCTCGACACCATCTCTTATGTCATATTTTCATTTTTTCCATCTTGTACTTACTTAGTGGATTATTTTTACTACATTCAGAGACCCGTCGCTTGAAGCGCAAATCCACAAAATTTGGGAATAAATTAAGGAGAGTTACTTCTTTCCGTAGGGATGAATGAGTGTTTACGATGTCGTTCGTATCACGCGAATGTGGAAAAGAAAATACATAAAAGAATGCATCTTTAGGAATTCAAGAGTCAATAGACACGTTTGAAAGTGTCAACATTTTCTGTTTTGTTAACAATTACCGAAATAGACAAAGTATTGACACTTCTAAAAATATATTTTCTAAAAATACAATTGAACTTTATTCATGGAACGCCGCCGCTCATATCTTGCCAGAAGCGTTTGCAGAAAAGCCATGCTGATACTTTAGACTAAAACGAGGGTACTTTTATTAAGATGTTCAGGAAACAACAAACACCCTGTCTCACCATCTTCACTGCGAGGTATCAAATTGCACATAGTACATTCCCACGAGCTACCCCTCACAGGCCAGAGAGCACGGGGGTTGGGGGACGAAGTGCGGGGTGGGGGGTGGGGGTGGGGGAGAGGAGATTGTACTTGGTACAGTTTTGTTTGTGATGATGTATCATACATTTAACTGAACCGGGAAAATGATAAGCTAGCACATCCTTCCAGGACTTAACTCGAAGGTTTTTTTTCTTTGGCACACCAATTTGAATAGGATAAGGCGAGAGAGTTCAGTAGAGAGGGGCGGTGGGGGGGGGGAGGGGAGGGGACTTAAATGTTCACTTCATCCCGGAAAAGCTGGAGAGAGACTTGATCAAAACCTTCACGCTTCATAACCAAGAAAACAACCCGCTGAACAAATCTTACGCTTTCTGTTTGTTTATTCGTTTCTTTGTATTTTTGAGTGAAATAAAAGTGAAAACATAGGTCTTTTCTAATTCGTGATTCCACGATAAAGAATTTCAACCAATTTCCAATTTAATTCAGATATTTAAATCATCTTACACTCCTTGCACGAAGCCCTGTACACTTTGATGGAGTTAAGGGCTCTCCCTTCCCTGTTCCCTAGGATTGTACTTTTTCAGTAATCATGTTAATTTTGAGCCCCAAAATTTAACAAATTAAACAGAAACACATGTCAAATTCTTGCGTTAAGAAGTTTCATGACCTCAACCTAAAGCGAACAGCTTGTAGCTCAATACCTTGAGTTATCCGCATTCACAAGAGATTATCTAATAATTCGGCTAACTTGAAGCGTTGGCATTGAACGGACGGCTTATTAAAATTAGGATTAGGTGTGAAGTCGGCCCCCACTCAAACCTTTTACACAGTTTTGTTACTAATTTAGCTCGACAACTAAAGAAAGGTCTGGGATTTGTAGCCACTAAGTCACAGTTTGCCTATCTTGAAAAATGAAGCGTTACTTTATAGACTTTTTTTTTTCAATTTTGCAATCCATGCCATTTTCATATTTTCTGTGCATCCTTGGCCATGTTTGTCCTAGTTTCATATGAAATCCTCTCCTCTTTTATGTTCTACAACCTTAGCGGCTCGCAAACCTACTCAATGATCATTTAAGTTTTCCATTTCAATTTAAGACAAGTTTCAACAACCTGAAAAGTACTGAAATTACTGAAACATTGATCTTGACATACGTAATCTTTTTAAAGCGAACGTCATGCGAAGTGCGATCAAAGATACATCGAATGTAACGTTTGGATGCTTTTCTGATTTAATCTGTCATTTTTCGCCTTGAACATTTACATTACCGCTCAGTCGAAAAAGAAGAATCTAAAACGAACTAGAAAATGTCAAAGAAACAAATCCCAGGAAAGGAACAACAACACAGAAAGGCCATTTTAACAGTTTGAGTTCAAAATTGTTTAGACTTTTTACAGTTTGTTTCCCGTATCAACTAACATTCCCCCCACGTCGTTTTTTGTCCGTCTCTAACACGGAGTAAAGACATAATTTTAGTATTTCTGACAGGGCTTTTAGAAGTTGATAAACATTATGTTAGTAACGGTTGAATCTTAGATGATTACAGCGATGATGATAGTCGCTTTAAACAATAATTCCCAGCAAGTACTATAAACATGCAATAAATCACGGTCTACATTTGCTTACGGACTTGTTGTACCGCGACAAAATAATTATCCAGATAACTACACATTGTTAACACTGACGATCAAACTAGATTTGACAGAGAAATTTGCATGTAAAATACTTGGAAACCAAATGAGTTACTCACCGACTTGACTGACTGGCGAACACCACGAAGTGAAGCTCGAGCTTTGTTTTCCGTTTCCCTGCGTGATAAGAGGGACCTCGCATTTAAATGTTGGTGTAAAGTGATCAAAATAAACCAGCCCATGCTATCACACAGCAGGGAAGCGACTTGCAATGAACACAATTTCTGGGATAGGTCAATTCAGCTATAAAAGAATCGCTCATGGCTTTTTACAGAACAAGCTTAAAAGTCGTTAGCAATCAGTTCTCTGTTTCCGGCGAAGAAAGAAAAAGAACTTTCCCCTTCTGCTACTGCAGCGATGACGCAACAAAATTGCAACTAAAAAACAAAATTGCGTGTGTGATCTTTTTTTTTTTCGGGCTGTGACACATTAACTATCATAGACGGGCCGCTCCACCCAAGACGAAAAATGAATCGTAGTAAATTGAATTTAGCTTTAATATCGTCTAGTAAATGACATTTTTAGCATTTTGTGGGTGAAACTTTATCAAGGAAGAACTTTGCATGACGTAACAAAGCGATTCGGTTATCAGAGCATAACCGAGTTCGTAGAGAATTTACTGCGCCGTAACAGCACGTGAATTAATTGTGTTTTTGGAATGCTACCTTTCTCAATCCGAACTGAATGTTTATTTGAAACAATAAGAGCAAGGTGGGTCATACACACGTTTTCATAACAACCTTTGTTCCTTCACGAGTCACTTAAGTTCAGCTGTTGTGTCAATTTTCTTCGATGGATTTATTCCTATCTCGCACGCTTAACATCTCTTTTCTTGAACGCTTGAATTAGTAGTAATGTATCAATTCCTTGCAAAGATTTCAAGGGGAATTAACCGTTCATCAATTTCTTAATGGTTTCTGCAAGATTTTTGTAGCTTGATCCGTTGGTTACCTGAGAGAAGTTGATTAGACCACGCAGACTGGTCTCACTTTGAGATGCCGCAACATCAAAGAAAACCTACTGTTTTAAAGTTTTTCTTTGTTGTTTCTTCGACAAAATTATAATCGGTTCAGAATCCTTTGAATTCCTCCCTACTTATATTGTCGAGTTTACTTTTAAGGATAAAATCTCATGTAACTGTACATTTGTACATGCTTAGAAAGGTCATGTCTATATCACTGCCCGTCTCAGTCACAAAATACAGAAAATTTACCTGGAGTGGCGTTTAGCTGGCTAGTGACAGATTCACGAAGATATTTTCCCTGATTTGTCACATTCAACTGCAACCGCACGTAAGGCACTTGAATTAAAGATACCGCTGAAACTTTGAGAAAGTTAGTAAAGTTCTTACTTACCAGTTTGTGGAAGGACAAAAAGATTTAAGACTGATGGAATAAGCCGGTGTTTTTACCTCACGGCACTCGTAATTTGGACCCATTAATTTGCGTCAAAAATACTGAAAAAGTTTGTATTGTTCAAACGCAATCAAATTATGCTAATTACTAGCTTTGACCGCAGAACATACTACTAAAAGGTAAAAGGCGGGAAGGAAGAATTTTCCATTCAATATTTCTTGATACTCTATGACGAAAGTAAGAGAGCAATGCAGAGTTACAATAACTTTGGTGACTTACGAGGTCGCTGTATGATGTAACTTGCTGCTTGGTCAGTGAACCGAAAACTTCTAGATCTTTGCCGTTACTCTGGTACAAGCATGGTAAAAAAAAAAATCGAGAACTTGCCAGAAGCTTCGCAAATAGTACTGCTATTTCTTCGAAAAGTATATCTTCAAACACAAAGCTCCCAGACTGTTTTGGTGAAAAAAAGAAAAAGAACAACCGCCCCCTCTATTTATAAAGACCAGGGAGAAGTATTGAAAACCTGCATGAGCGCAAATTCAAAACCTGCAGTGTTTATTATCAAAAGAATGTGAATTGAGGCGCAAATGTATTAGAATCTTTTGTTAAGTTTCAAATACTTTATCTACGATTATATTAAATCAGTTTCCTGTTGAATTATCGATCGGCAATATTTCTTGAATCGTGAGCTACCAATATCATCAGATGGAATGTGTTCCGGAAATTTGACTAATGAATGAAATGTTTCCGTAAGGGGTTCCAAGTTTTGTTCTTCATATATGGACAAGACGTCCATCACAAATACCGCTTTGGACCGTGTACTGCATATGCAGGCCGGCGATAACTTGTTAAACAAATTAAACATTGTCTGATAAATGTTCTCTCCACAGGACGAGATTAAACAATTCGTAGACTAAACAAGATTACAGTGAAAATTCATTTTCAGCTTAATGTAGCAGACTTGTAAACATCAACTAAGGTATTCCAATTAGGTCTGCAGAGACGCGCTAAATCATCAAATTACTTTTTCCACGCACAAAAAAAGTTATTACTATTTTGGAACAAATAGCAAATGAATGATATTGGATAAATCGGCTAGTTTTGTCAGTGAACTGTTCGAAATAGACCCACCGACTGCTTGCTTCAAAGAAAGGAAGTGAGATCCAAATTATGATGTTTTGAATCTCAAGTTATGCTATCATATGAGCTAAATTAAGTTTTAACTAAGTTTGTGTGGGAGTTTGTACACTGAGTTTAAGTGTTGCTATTTGTTTGCTTTTGCTAATAGGAAGGAACTTCACTGTTTATGTTACTTTATTTAACTGTTATTTTGCGGGAGATATGTTTTTCGATTTAGAGATTTTTTGTAGTATGATGAAACACCTTTTCGTAGTTCGTCATAACTGCAACTGTTGTCAGGAACTAGTTCCTTACGACTTTATAATCTTCTAATTGCAGAGTTGGATTGAGATAAGTTGTACGGGAGATGAGTCCTAGATGGTTGATTCGAGTTAGTCCGATCGCGAATGCCAACAACACAAACTGACACTTACCTTGCATGCAAAGGCTTTCACTGGTATGAAATTAGAAAACTCTAGCGGCAAAGTATTTGGTATTTTTCAAAATCGACGCGATGTACTATATTGTTGTAAAAGAGTTTCGGTCAAAGAACCTTACCTTACAGGACAAGTGTTGCTGAAGACCCCAAAGCTTTCTTCGTTTTCAAAATGGGGCTGACGAACTTATCATCACACGTTTTTGCATGCCATCACTTTTAAAGCGATCGTTCCTATGACACGGGAAAATTATTCCCTTGACCTTTCATGTGGGTGCGTCGCAAAGACGCTCTTTAACTTCAAGTGAAACTTCCGGAAAACTGAACAGAATCCAAGATACTCGTAGGGATCATAAATGATTGTTGTTCAAAGCTCCCACCGGCACCTCAAATACCGCTATAGGCAGATCTCACGGCTTTGAAAAAGAAACGATAATCTACTAAGATGAGAGACACATACAGCATGAAACCGACGTAGGGTCATGTGAGTGGGAGGTCCACGTGTCGCACTGGAAAGGAATGAGTAAAGGAAACCCTCAATAACCCCAACAAGTGATTTATCTCTCCCAAGAGTCAATGTCACGGGAAAGCTATTCCGATTTTCATTTAACTCGAATTATCTTGAGACGACATTCAAAGACGTGATTTAATGAGTTGGGATGGGACTTAACTGCGACTCACCGCTGCTTTCAACACAAATCTTGCTTTATTCAGAGAGAGTAGATGAAGATGTTGTCCTGATCCTGTACGTGCTGAAGCAAAGGACGGGGATGTGCTAGTAACTTCCGCCTGAGAGAAGTAGCAACAAGATCACCTTAGATTACATATAACCTGTACACGAAAACCGCCAAACGAGGAAATTTTTGCTGTCAACGGACGGAGTCAGGTGACAAGTTAATGAAGGGAATTGCGCTGGGTTTTGGCCGTCAGCCATCAAATCATGTTAGGTTCGCACCGACTGACAAATTAAAATCAGTCGACACGATGCTATTTTAGGACGACACAACACGCACTTCTCGTGTGGGGTCTGTAATCGAGATTTTGCTTTTTTTTCCAAAGTGGATTTTTGGAGTGGTTGTGCAGAATATTACAATATCTCAAGTTAATGACCTAGCAGCTATGATTAAACAAGATCTTCAAGATTTATTGTGGTCTACCTGTTTTTACCCATTTGCTACCTGCATGCAGGGTGACGAAATTATAGTTTTGTGTAAACCAGTGAGCTGCAAGCTTAAATAATATCGAACTATCGGCTCCTTCTTCGTAATGACTCTGCGTGTGACTTACCGTGGATAAGAATTGAAGTTAAGAAGTTTGAGATTTCATGTCAAGTGATTTTGCGTGTAAATAGGATACAATGTCAAAATTTTGAGATTTGACTTTTATGTCTACATTATGATATCGTTGTGAGAAACTCAAAATCTTTAATATTCAAGATTCGGCTGCATACCAAGGAAATTGTAGAAAATTTGATATCGTGCACGTCAGGTCTTGGAATGCTATCAGGCGATTTAGTCGACTGATCATAGAAACTCAACGTCAAATCGTACATGCGCCCTTCGTTTCCCCGTAAGTAGGGGGGTGCAAGAAAGTCGCAAGTAATAAGCTAGTGGTAAGAGGACCAAGCGCTCTCTGATGTCTTTTTGTAACCACTGCAACAAAGCGTGGGTTTTCGTATTTCGGAAGGACCCAAGGAAATAAGAGATTCCTTTTAGTTAAGTGTTAGCCTAAACAGATTTTGTCAAGGAATAGGCTTCCCCAAGCCGACCGTTAAACTGATTGAAATGTAAACACTGACTTATTACTCTGGACAAATGAGGATTTTGATGATTTCGTATGACGGTAAAATCTGGAACCGTCGGAACACGGTGAAATCCTCTTAGTCTAGGGATTTCTTCAAATACGAAAACCAGTCCGATAAAATCAAAGATAAAGATGATCGAAGCTACGACATCCTGATTCAGTGGTAATTAAAGAGTTATCAATTCTGAGTGATTGGGGTCAAACGGTGGCGAAAAACGGTGACGTACACTCTTCAGTAATGATAACAAAAAAATTACATAACATTCCGGTGGAATTTAACTACTTTTAGAGTGAAAACTCTTAGAGTGAAATATACGAACAAGTCTATTAAATCTACGTGAACTAAGTGATGTCCGAGTAGTGGTCCTGTGTGGCTCAGTGGTAATGCAGTAGAGCATCCCAATTCCCAATTGGAATTCCTCGTGAGGGATAGATAGTTTTTCCTTGTTAGTCGCCTTTACCCGTGACACCGTATTCCTAAGGGGAGTTCCTAAGTAATTAAGGTTCTGTAGCCCCCTTTCTCAAGAAAACTTTGGTGTAAAAAATTATTACGACAAAAACAACCTAGTATGGACCCAAATGCAAGACATTAGTTCGACAGTGGAGAATCTTCCTTTCCACCAAACCTGCTTGCAGCTCTGCAGCTATTCTTAGAGGCCGGGTGTCCTTTTTTGGCTACCGGTTCAAGTCATCTTACAGTGTGCTTTAGTCAGTTAGGCTTTATAGAGACGACCGGACTACAGATTCTCGAGAAAACGACTTTCTCGCTGGTTCTTTGCATAGGTAGGACTCACCCTTTTTTTACTTATATACGATAGCATGAAAATAAATTGAACTTTTGTTTTCGTGGAATTTGCTTTAATTTCCTCTCGTAAGTTTACAGACTGGATTCCCATTGATGCATTAGTATTCCTGACTGGCGCGCTAAAATTGAGATAAAGCCTATGTTAAGATAGCCTCCGTGAGGGCGTCACTTCGCTTCGGCGGTTTGGTTCTCAAGCGCTTAAGCCGAGAGTGTGTGAAACGAAAAAAAAAACCGAAAAAGAAAATTTTTCACAAGGCAAATAATTGGACTGCTATGGTTGTATGTGCTAATTTTCCAAATGGCACTGTAGCTTAACACACTGACAGCTTAAGGGAGGAAACTCCAAAGTTTCGCAATTCAACCTCAGTTTGACAAAAGACAAGGCTTACGCATGTTGACATATCCAATATTCCGCTCCCTTTCAGTACGTGTTTACGTCGTTTCAGAGGAAAACACTTCCCGACCATAATTACCTTTAATAACATTTGATTCGATAGGCGTGAGAAATACCTGTAAAGCCTAAAAAAAGCGGCTTGTTGTCTCATTTGCGGTCAGCTGGAAAGTATCACCGCAAGGGATTGAGAGCCAAGTTGCCGGATCACGATACTGCAGATAAACTATGTTGTTCCTTTTCAGTTATTAAGCACCGCTTTACTCCACAGGAAGTCGACAAAATCCAGAAAAAGGAAGTCAGCATTCCTTGAAGCAAAAAAGATTGCCAAATCACGAGAGTGCAGATTTGGGATCAGATCAACATCATTCCAAGAGGATGGATTAAGAAAGGCCAAAAATAAACTTGCCAACGTATTAATCCATTTAAACAAATAACTTTGCTGAAAAAAAAATTGAAAGACGAAAGCCCTCAAAAGTGATTAAAAACCCCTTCCATCTCTTCGATTCATAGGCGTCAAAATGTTCCTTCCATTATTTCAACCTACTCGTTGTCATGATTGGTTTTTATGGACACACCCAAATTTTCCTTTGATTCTCATCAGTTCATTCCTTCTTATCCCAGATTCCCTTCACGCTGCAACACAGACGTAAAAATGGTTAAGGAATTTGACGAGTTCATGTGGTCGCATTCTCGAGATGAATAGGTGACTAGGATCGTTTACGGACTTCCCCGAAGTTTAAGCCGAGACCCTAGAAGAAATGGGAAGGTCACGTCGCTTTAATCCACATCAACTAATTGGAGATCGCACCGTGTGATCGTCAAAAGAAGAATCGTATTGCACAAAAAACGTACTTGCGTTTTTTTTTTTTATTTATTTTTTTCTGTCGGGAACCTTGCAACGTGTCATACTGTTCTCTCTTAATGTCAGTTGTGCCTTTTGAAGTGAAATGATGGATACTGCGGGGGAGGGGGAGGGGGTGTTAGATCCCCCTACTTTTGCCTTAACAGTAGGGGGGGGGGGGCAATTGGGGCCTCTGGGAAACCGCAAAACCGGAGAAAAAACCCTCCAAAACCGAAAAACCGACGAAAAAAGGCAGCAAAACCGAAAACCGCATGCAAACCTGGCAAAACCGCTAAATTTTCACCTTTAAAGGGGTCAAAAAGGAAAAACCGAATGCAAAAACACGTAAAATCCGCAAACCGCTCTGTACATTAAAACCGTTAAACCGAACCTTCTTGGCCCAAAAACCGAAAAACCCATCTAAAATACAGTCAAAACCGAAAATCCAGAAGACCTCCTCTTAACAGGTATATGCCATCAAACAGGGCTTAGCTTTGTTTTCTTTAATTTTAAACACGATATACAGTTTCACTTTTTAGCGCCTCGAATAGGATATCGCACCAGCTTAGAGGACTTGAACCGGGCGCAGATGTTACCTTACTTGGTCTGTCCGTGTGATACCAGCATTATTTATAAGTGTTTCTAAATATTCTGTCTGTAAACGATAGTCGCTGCTCTATAAGGTTGACCTGCAACAGTTATCTCAGTCTTAAAGTGTCGTTTAATTTTGCATGTACACAGTATCCTGAATTGTTCTTAAATGGACAAAAATAATACAACTTAAAGGAAACTACCAACTTGAATTTTGACTTACATCGGTTCCACAATTTATGTTATCACAGGGAGACCAGACAAGCGACGAGTCTGGTTGTTTAGTCGAAATATAAAGGAATGTATGGGAGAATATTGAAGAGTCTTATTATCTTAAACTTATATATCATGAAATGTCTGAGTTAAAGCTCAAAATAAATGTAAACCTACCTCACTTGCTGTGTATTGTCGTTTCTGTGGCTCTAAATGGCGAATTCGAGCGATTTGGTGAGTTTTGCGTCGACTGCTACTATATCTCCTTCCTATAAAGTATCGTAACAGTCGACGCAAAACCAACCAAATCGCTCAATTTCGCCATTTAGAGCCACAGAAACGACAATACACAGCAAGTGAGGTAGGTTTACATTTACTTTGAGCTTTAACTCAGATACTTCATGATATAAGTTTACGATAATAAGACTCTTCAATATTCTCCCACACATTCCTTTATATTTGGAATAAACAACCAGACTCGTCGCTTGTCTGGGCTCCCTGTGATGTTATCTCATGTTGTGTTGCAATCATGGGAAAGCATTTGTCACAGTATTATGTGATGACTATGTCTGGGAGCCAACATGTTGGCTTGCAATAAAATCACATTGAAAGCATGATTATAGTAAATTTACTCCGCAAAAGATCTTGAAAAATACAAAGCTCTCAACTGTCTTGACTTGAACATGCATTGCTCAAAGAATTCACAATACCAGCAAATGTCAATTCTTCAGACATTGTAATGAAAACTTTAAATATTGCTTGTAAAGTCATAAGTAGTAAAGAAAAATAGTTAAAGTATAACTAGCCTTAAAAACCTTTAACTCCCATGAGTGATCAACACAGAATTTCTCCTTACAATATGCAGACAAGTGATGAGAATAAAGAAAAATATCAATAAGGGGATTATTAGTTGATCCAATAACAAATTCTCCAAACTAACATCATAAGAATTGTATGGCAGACAGTAAGGAGAATTGCTAATGAGATCCTGGGAGTGAAAGCATATGCTCTGCATTAAAAAAAAAAAGGAATACTTTTACTACAGAAGGACGAGCTGTTTTTCCTAAATGGCTGCTCTTTCTTTGGGACTGCAGCTGCTGCATGGTTATGTCTGTGTCACAGAATTGAGAATTCTCTCCTCAACACATCTCTTGTTATTTCTTTGGCAGTTTGGTCGGATCCAAAACATTTCCATCTTCATCCCTTGCTTCACCCGCTTTCTCCACCTCATTCAAATATGTTACGATTTGATGCTAGAGCAAAACAAACCTGATTAAACTATTCTTCAAGAAAATTGCTATCATTCTCACCTAAATGGGAAGTTTCTGTCTACCCCTGTACACCCTGACATCAGTATGCATATTCTCCATACTGTTCTCTATACATTTGTTAAGGCACTGACAAGGAGAATTTGTTGAACAATCAAGAACTTCTTTAGTTAGTCATCATTTCCTCTTTAAGAAATGGTTAGCATGCAGCGTACAACCATTGAGTTATGGATGCACATAGGAGGTTGCTAAGCACGAAAGAAGCGTATTTACGGTAAGAGTCACACAAGGCGATAGCCGAGTGCAACTCTAGCTTCTTGAGTGCTTAGCAAACCTCCCAAGTGCATCCATAACTCGATGGTTGCATGCTGCAAGTTAACCATTTCTTTTCATAACATTGAGACTTTCAATCATCTTATGTTTCGCATATAAATATTTAATTGTTCAACCAGCTAATTAAGCTCCTGCTTGCTCAAGTTCACAAATCTCAAACTCTTAGCCGGTCAGGCCTGTCAAAAAAACTGAGCTCGAAATTTGGAAGCTCACAAGAATTTCCTTCCTTATCTCCAGAAAAATTACAAAATTTTTCCATATTTCACGAGCAAAAAACCCACAAAAAAACAGGAATTATGTTGTAAGAAATGGCAACATCAATGAAAAAAGTTGTCTTGAAAAAAAAAGCAAAACAAACTGACATCAGTGGGCAACCCATGGGCAAATGGATCGAGCATATTAGCCAATCAGAGCGTGCACTTTTGTAAAGCGATGTTATAAATTCTCATGAAATGAATGCATTATTCAGGGTGATATATCTTAAGGGGGAATTAGATGCCACTCATTCTTCTAGGTCAAAGGGTCAGGGACATACTCACTCGTAAATTCCACTTAAACCTCATCAGTTTCCATAAAAATCAAAGCACCATATATGGCAAAAGGCAAATCAAGTAGAGGGCTAATTGATTATGTGTTCAATAACAACCGCTTGTATTGCATTGTTCACAACTTACAGCCACATCCATTCTTTTCAAACGTCTTATTCGCCTCTTTTTTGTTTCTGGTGCAGGTGTCCCATCTGATATTTCGAAAGCAAAACAATCCTTTTTAAGGGGGTAAGTTTCTAAAGAAACTGTAGTGCTGCGTCACTGGGGGTAACAAGGTAATTTGGTTTATCAACTATGTTAAAATTGTAAATTGACTACTGTAAAGGGTTGAAAGCTTTTTAACCCCTTATTGTGGCCAATTTACAATTTCAACTTAGTTGATAAAACCCAATCATTTTAAAGAACGACTTTACACAGACGTCTGTGGTTCCTGAAATATAACACTGTTATGTATTTGACAGTGAAAGCCACTAAAAATAGGGAATAAACTTTATATACAATATCAAAATTCTGTAGATGGGAACTAAATGATCAATCAATGGTAAACCCTCAATCTAAACATAATCAGGTAGTATAATTGCTCCTGTGATTATACAGATGCAGGTGCAATGATTGGTTAAGGATTGGGTCATATCCCACCATAATCACCATGTGCGAGATGATTTTTTCTTGGGGATTATTCAACAACATTCACTGAGCCTGTGGTGAATAATTGTTAATTAACAGTATTGTGTGTGTTGATAGACAAGATACAGTCAGATAACAATTAGATTAAAAAAGCTTAAGGTGGCACCTGAGGCTAATTTGGAATTTTGGCCAACTTTGAGATTAAAATATTTCGTGACAGATTTGTTGCAGTGACTTCAAATTTTCACATGATTTATGATTCTACCTGTAATCTGAAGAAAAAATTTTCCCTAGGTGTCAAGACATTTGCGGAATTTCACGGAATTAAGGGTTGCATTTGAAAGATCGTTTTAGAGAAAAACTTCTCCAAATCTGAGCCGATATAATGTTTCTCAAATGGTTTGGCACATTCACAAAGAAAATGGTAATAAAGATTTTCAGCCTAGTCTGCCAAATGAAATTTTATTTAGACAATTTTATTGTCAAAGGATGAAAAAGGATTAAGGTTGACATCTAATACCTTCTTGTTCAATCAATTTGTGGTGGACCATAGTGAATTGCACTGCAAAGTTTTCCTCACTGTATGTAGTTTTAGGTTTACCAAGTTTTAGATCACAAGAGTTAATCTCCCCAAGATAATGCTATTGCAGTTGCAGGATACAATGCAGCTGCAAAAATTAATTTGCAAAAAGCAGCAATATCCATGGTCTGTACAACTTCAGACAAACAAAATTCAAGGACTTTTCAAGGACAAAAAATGGTTTTCAAGGACTAAGTTTTATTCATAAATCTAAACCATTCATGATTGAATACACATTTGCCCATCGCTCAATTAAATTGAAAACAAAGGGAAATGAAAAATTCATTGACCAAACCATAGCCCATGTTTACATTGCCCCTTAAAACAAAAGCACATGGCAGACTACCCCACATTAGAGGCCTTGCGCATGAAATTGAGGCACAGACTCAACTTTGCTTCATGTACCACTCACGTTTTATACTGACCATTTTCGCTTTTGGGTAGTTACTAGACGTGGACAAATTTTCCATAGCAAAATCGTTTAATTCATCAGAAAAGCGATAAGGCGCACAGAAGTCGCTAAATTTCAAGGACTTTTCATGACCTACTAAAGAAATCAAGTACTTTTCAAGGACTTAACCAAATTCAAGGACTTTTCAAGACAACCGTTAAAATTCAAGACCTTTTCAAGATTTTACGAACCATGAATATCTTTGGGAGGATTCATCAGGGAACCTATGTTTACTTTCTTTCTTGGTTGCCATCTTGTGTAAGCTATAGATACCTGGTTGCAATGATTAAATGCAAAATAGTGAGATATAAATGGTCATAACTGCGATATTCGTCTTGCTACTTTTCTCGTGAAACCAATCAGAACATAAGACTAATTCATTTTCACTATCTGTGGCAATGACACCTATCCTGTGGTGTTGAGACAGTTTTGATGCCCATGCTGTGCATTAGCCAATGATGGAAAAGCAACACAAAGGAAGAGGTGGCAATTATTGATTTAAGCTTTTTTTATGTTATTTGTATAGGTGATAGCATGATTCCAAATGCAATTTATTGTTAACAGGCACAAGCAAATTTTTCAAATACAACAAAACTCCACAAGCCCATGAGGCAAGTGCAGTTTGCAATCTTTGAAAGATTTACAAGTGCTTATTGACACCAAATTGCATAAGAAATCATGGTATTACTTATTAATAATTTATATGTAAAATCCATCATAAAAGTAAAGACAGGCAAAATTATAAAAGCATCCATGCTATTTATAATTTGTACTTGCCATACAATTTTGTAATTGTGTCACAAGAAAAATACACTCATTTACAGCCCATAAGAAGCATGTTATTTTTTTCATGTATATTATTATGTTTACAACCAAACTGTCAGCCAACTCACATTACTCACCATCTATGGTGGATTACATAATAAGATGAATTGCAGGATAACCTCAGTTTGATTAGTACTTATTTATCAGGTGCTAGAGGGCAGATACATAGCATCACCATTGACAAAAATTTTCGGCAAGAGTACCATATAACTCCATACATTAATTATGCATTCAGACTAGTAGACTTTGTTTTTAAAGTTTTGTCTTGAAAGACAAAGAAGTGGAATGCATAATTAATGTATGGGGTTATATGGTACTCTTTCCAAAATTTTCTTTTTCATCATGTTAACAAATAGATTCCATATATTCATGGGTTTGTACAGTACTAGGCCGCATCTCATGTGCCACTTTTTTGTTCTAACCACATTTTAGTGAAATCTTGAGCCATTATAGATGCAGGGCAACATGAAATCAATTTGTCAAATAGATAGCAACTTGCACAGCCAATAATATTGCATCATTCGTCAAAGAGCGCAAGTAGATTTCATCGAAATAAAGGCAAGGTAAATTGGCAAGAATTCTTGTTTTTCTCGTTGTCATGTTCCCACCAGTAACGTAGCTCCATTTACCACCTTTAAAAGCACGCACAACCCACAATTCCTCTATTCGCTGCGACGAAGGGCTAACGCTCGAAACGTCAGCTTTTGTAATCGTTACGGTGGCCAATTTACCATTTCAACTTTGTTGATATATCTAAATTATTAGATTTCATCTAACTGTGTATAGAGGTCGAAAGTCTACCTGCAAAACTCCAGTCTGGTAGGTCAGTGAGAGGTCCATAAGCTATTCCATCGCGTGCCTGGCCTCGGCTGCTCAAATAAAAAGGAGTGGTAGGGATTAAAATTTGCTGCAAATTGTTCCCCTTAAACTATGAGAAGTAATTAACGCCCAATGTTTCCGTACATGTACAGCTAACATCCTTAATTCATTATTCAGCAAATCAACTGTTGGTTGCAGTTAGTTTAAAACAACAGCTAGAGGGACCGATGTGGTACCAAACTCACCTATAGAATTAACAAGCACATGTAAGGCAGCTGGAAGGGAGAACTGCGAAAGAGTTCCTGAAAGTTAAAGTGGTAATTCATCACGTATTTAACGTACCTCAATCTCATTTTTTGTCCAGCATGAAGCGTTAGTAAAGTACTCCAATATCGAATGCAATTTACAGACATCGTTGATGGTCTTGCCAACACTGGAAACAAAATCAGACGAAAAAGAAGAATTTAAATATAAATTTATGATCAAAATCAATAAGAAACCATACAAATAACTTCAGAGAATTCTTACCAATAATTCGATTTCGAATTAAGGCCGCCATCTTTGATTATAGGCTCTATTGTATCATGTAAGATAACTTCTAGTGTCACATTGTCAGAGTAGGAATCTGGGTACTAGATGGAATAACTCTAGTTACCAGCTCACCCTGATTCAATAAACAGCAACATCTCAGCATCATGGTGGTTCCAAACCGAGATCTCCCTAAACGCCTTCCATTGCTTATCCTCAAGGACAAAGTCCTTTTACCGGGCTCTTCCATGAGGATTGCTGTACGAGACAATGCCAGGTAAGAAAAAAACTTGAACCTTAAGCGCGTTCTTTTCCGCTACTACGCGTACCTTTTTACATTACATGAGCTCAGCTGTTGTCTTGCGTGTCACTGTTTAATCGTCACAGCCTCCGTATGATCGATACAAGACTTCTTCGAAAGGACACCCTAAGCAGTGTGATCATAGGTGTGGTACCACGACGATCAGCGAAAGAGGTAAGCTGCACAAGGTTATTGTAAATTATTTATGTCTCGCTAATCTTCGGTTTTGTGCAGTGTACTAGCGAACGTGACATTAAGCTGCACGCAAATTTTCATATTGGACCGGAAGTTCGTCACAAGCAGAATGACTATGCGTTAGCAGTTTGTTTTCCTGTGATAAATAATAGTTCCAATAAAGTAGCTGGGGTTTTTATGCGTAACTGCAGTAATTTTTTGGGTAAACTAGTTCAATTTTTCCCGGTAAAGGGAAAGTAGAAAAGTTATATCTTAATTAACTTAGTTTACATAACTTAGCGAGCGTAACTGTAGTTATCAATTTCAGGGCAGATACTGCAAAGTGACTCTTGATATAAAAATTCTAAACCCGAGCAACCTCTGTGATTGGGTTAAATATATGAAATGAAAAGAAATACATCAATCATTTTAAAAATGACAAGTATTATTGAATTCAATAATTTTTTTCTGTTTAGGTAGAATTTATTGACCCTTTGTTCAATTCAGCAGAAGTGATCGCAGAAGCAGAGCAAATATTTTTGTATTTTTTAAGGAGCACAAATGTTTCAAGGCGATTTTTGCACCACCAAATCTCAATACAGTTGATTCATTTATAATCCACAGGATGAAGAATCATTGTTACATGCCTTTGGTACAGCATCTGTAGTAGTTCAAGTGACAGGTACAAACTGGCCAAAGCCTCTGTACACCCTGCTTGTTACTGGACTGTGCAGATTTAGAATTGATAGAATTGTCATGGAGGAGCCTTATCTGATAGCAGAGGTGACACAGTTAGACAAGCCATCTGAACAAGGTACAGTACATACTGTACACAAGGCTAGCCTAAACTTCTCAAAACAGTATCACTTTAACCCTTTAATTCCTAGAATTGATTAACATGTAACTTCTCCCAACAATATTCATTTATCATTCAGCAAACAGGTGCTGAGAATACTCAAACTTATCAGGTAGAAGTTGTTATCTTGATCTAACACCAAATTCTTGTGACTAGTTTACAATGAAATGTGTAAGCAGCTAGAGGAGGAAATTAATAATTAGATCTCAGGAGACAAAGAGTTAACCAATACATTTCATGTTGTTGTGCATCTGTTCTGTTAAAGATCACAGATAATTTTCAGAACTTTTTCTTTGTCCTGCACTCATGACAAGATGAAAAAAAATTTCTTCGAAGTGATAGTAGTCTGACCAATGTTTCTGGATTACAGAGGCAGAAATAAGGAAAAATGCTGATTTAACAATGCTAGCTGAAGAATTTCGACTGTGTTCAAATGAGCTGGTGAACATGTTGGATGGGAGAGTTCCATTTGTTTCCAGGTTAAAGGTAATGGTTGAAAGTTATGAAGTTTGAGGTTTGTAAAAACAGAAATTTAAGGTACATATACCATGCTTGTTTCAATAGCTATTGTTATATGGTGATCCTCACTGCCAACTTATTACGGAACTTAAGCACCGGTCGTTTTAGAGGCAACGGCAACTTTAGCGACCGAAAGAGCCTGGGAAGAGAACAACGTCGTTCCCACCAAAATATAAACGTTAAGCAGCTAGACGAGGTTTGCGGCGGCGACGTCGGTAGCAAACTCTGTTCGCTTTTAAGATAAGCTGTGTGAGAGCATGTCATCCTT